CATCCCGCTGCCCTCGCCGCACCAGCTGAGCACAGGGCAGCAGGTACAGAAGGAGAGGAAGAGAAGTGCGTGTCAAATACTGGGTCTGACAGAGTGTTTCTGAAAGCCGATGACAGTTCACTACAGGTGGGACTCCTGCGCCTGGTGTTCACTACTGTGTAAAAATATCTTCACTGTGTCTTTCCACTTGTCACCTGAACGGTTCTTCTTCAAAAACACATTTAGCCGGTCCAGATCTGACATCCACTTCTACTGTAGCTTTGGCCAAGTTCTCAATCACACATGGTTTTAGTCAATGACAAATAAATATATATTGTTGTGCGGCTGAATGGGGAGGCTATTCAATGTTAAATGTACTGTATTAGGGGAAACATTTGATTTTACACTATCTATAAAAGATTAGCACGGGAATATTGTGTGTCGATCTTAAAGCAGCTGGAGCACCTAATGTATTTTTTTTATTTAAAAAACATCCAAAATCAGACTATGATTTTCAAAAGTATCAAAATTATCCGATATAAAAAATCACGAAGACGACAAATGAGATATTCTATGCGCTGTTATTGAATAATTTTGAACTATATCCAAACTTGTACCAAGTTTATACTTTGTTATACCATTTAAAAAAACACTAAAATAAAATATAGTAGCGTTTTAAATGTTAAAAATTGCTGCTCAACATTGTACAAACAAAATCACCATGGTATTGAGTCTGTTTCTTTGAACAGGAATCGAGTTTGTTACTTTAGTTTTGTGACAACACTAAACTGTGCTCTCAGATTATTGCGAAACATTTTGTGTAGAAATCAAACCAGACTGTGCTCTTACTTTTATTAGAAAACGTTTATTCTGTCTCTTGTTATTAGTGATAGTCGATGTCTCCTCTCGCAGCTTTTAGAAACCTTTACCAAAACAGCTCTTGTTGGTCTTCTGTCAACAGCTTCATTTGTATTACATTCACTGACTGTATTATAACCAAAAAAAGAGCGGTTGTGTGTTGTAAAAGCAAAATTGGAAGTGCTCAAGTCCATGTTACAACAGCACAAAACTCACACAACATAAATCGTGCACGGTTTTCTCTTTACCCTAGAGAATACAGACGCCTTCAATGCAGATCTTGCTCCCTGCTTCACCAGCTCACCTGTCTGACACATCCATCCCCCGTCAGCCCCGGTCTAGGTGACAAAAGGCTGTAAATCTGCACAGCCCTCGTGCCATTCTGGGACCAGGCGTGTCAAAAATACCTCCACCGTTCTCCAGCGAGTGAGCGATGAGTGCATATTTCACTAACTCAACGTGAATGGTAAAATAGCGCACAGTCTGTACATGCATAAAGACCGGGAAGAAAAGTGAGGGAGATGCCACAGAAGATGTTCTTTAAGTGTTTTTGTTGGATATTTCTGTCCAGGTGCTGTGCAGAGCATTCTCCATGACAGCTGAAACAAAGTGACATTTCGAAAAGGCAAACGTGCAGATGTTGTGTGTAGCAGTAACTCAGGCCTCACAGTAATGTTCAAAGACAAAGGTGATGGATGGCTCGCAAAGATGGATTCGGTCTAATATCAGATAGTATAGAACAGAAAAAGAGGAGGAAGAGGAATAGTGCTGCTGATAGAGCAAGGAATTTTAGGAATTTAGTTGTGGGTACTTCGAGTCCTTTCTATCCTGGTCCACATCCATTACTAAAAAAATGTAGTTTAAAGCTGGCCTGTCTACATTTTGAAACCACCACAAATTAACCATGTTCTAAGATCCATGTAAGTTCCCAGCTCCCAAAACTGTTTGGTTTCATCCCTAATTTTCACATGTGTGTATTTTCATCTTTAAATCAGCTTTCAGTGAAAAGGAAAGGACCAGAACCAGATTTATTTTTGAAATCGAATAAGGCTATGTCGTGACTTTTGTCATTTAGCCACTTTTTCAGGTTGGTCGGTTATAAAGCAATCCCTATTTTGTCTCTTTTAATTGGAAACTAGAAGTATGTAAAAACATTCACTAACTGGCGCTGATTGGCCGATGCCTGACCTAGTAGCAGAGTCTACCCACTGAATATGAAATGTTAGACTGAACACCAGGAGTCAAAACACATGTTTTATATAATGTTTATAAATGATTCATCAATAATGACGCACCATTTACTAGTCCCCCATAGAAAGTGTTTCTCCTCTACTTAACTACCTGCAAAATCATTAGCCGTTCTCTGCCCACAGTTGACCCTTTAATGAAACAAATGCCTTTTCCTGACACAAACTATGGGAAGCAAAACAAACAAAAACAGACACTTAAACCCATCATTATCAGCGGCCTAATGCAAAGCAGATGGGGCAGAAGTCGGGGCATACCAACTTCCTGAGGTAATAACAAACCTCCAAACAATCTCTCTCCCGAGCTTTCTCTGTATCAATGTGGTTTGCATTTTACGTACAGCCCTTGTGCCGTTCTTGAAGTTGTAATTTAATGGAAAAAAATGTTTTACTTTTTAATTTTTAATTTTATTATCAAACCCATGCCTGAAGCTGCCAAAGGACACTAAGAGTTGTAAACTGCCACTAAAACCTGCATGGCAGAGAAAAACAACCCTTGAGGGGTGTGTGAACAGTCTGCAGGCGCACATCTGATACGTTGTCATGGAAACATAGGCCCCTACTATGTGCAGTAACTGTTAGCATTTGAAATCTGAAATATTCTAATATCCAACATAATTCCCCTTTAATGGCAAAATGTGATTCCATATTTTCATGCTTTGAAACTTTTCCTTTTGATCAATGACATTCCTCTGTGTTTTCTCCCTCGCCTACATTCCTCTCCATCCACTCGGGCCGCGCGTACCTGGCTTATGTCTTCCACATGCAGCGCACTCGGGTTTTTCGCCAAACGACGGGAGCATGCAGATAAATTCTTGGACGTCTCCTCCCAACTACAGTCATTAGTCTTCAACATTCTCAATTTATACGCTGTCCGGTTTGATTTTGGCCCCTCTATCCAGATGCCTGCTTTATCTACGCTCTGTGCGAGGTTGAAAATCTATCGCGCGCAAGGAAGAGCATGTTCTCGCTGAAGGAATGCCCGCGGCGCAAAGCCCTTAAGATAGTAATCATAGCGCTATTCGTTATAATATGTCAAAATGTTGCCCCTTTAGGGAGATGGATATTGTACTTTAGGATGCAGTAGATCACGTTGGAGTGCGTGTGTCTAATCCTCAACAGGCAGGCCCTACACAAGCAGATTTACCCGGTCTCTTCTCTCGCTGACCAAAGCTTTCAGTGCAAATGTAATTCATCCGAGACGCTTGGATCAACAACGCCTCTGCAAACGAGGGTTTCAACGAGACGCTCTCCGTTTTTCTACGCTTTGAAGTCGGCCGATCGGGGCGCAACCGAAAAGAGAGGCCAGCGGTGATGCTTCCAGAAAGATGAAGGCGTCGCTAAATCTGAAAGTAAATAGAAGGATGTGGAGAGATTTGCTCGTGCCGTAATAATGTTTTATGGCCGATGATGGAGCCCCAGGAGTCTTGGGCCAGTTTCAACAGACATGCAGCTTAGCACTCGGACCTCAGTCACCAGATCAGCTGATAGTCCCCCCCCTGACTCTATTTGTCTTGGCCAAACTGTTTTTAGATGGCAGTGATGAATTGGCTCTCTGACCTAGTTAGTTTCTCTGATTATTTGTGTCTGCTGAACGCGCCTAGTGTTTTAGCTCTTCATATTAATCATTGTTCCGAGGAAAATATGTGCTTATTTTTGATAGTTTTTGTGTGAGAGTGACCGAGCAGCAGGTTTCTGAAGCACAATTATAGACAAATAGGAGACTTTGCTTGCATTCACTTAAAGCTGGGGTACCTAACTTTTCCTTTAGTAAATAATATACTGTGTTCGTTCCTGCAGAAATTTTAAGACCTTTTGTGACCTCAACATGCTGTCCTTATCTTCTTGGAAAACATGTTATCTTTGCATACTTGTAAGAAAGAGCCCAGTGAGTCACTATTTGATGCTTTGGGCTGAGAGCTGATTGGCTGAGTGAGGGTGGTCCTCTTTTTTTCACTTTTCTGTCTCAAAAGATATGGAATGCAAAAAACATGTAAGTGAAAACTACCAATAGAACCAAACTGTTTTAAGAGTGAGGAATCAGATTTGATTTCATTGCTCATGTTTTAGTGGTGTGAAGGTACCCAAGCTTCAAATATAAAATAAAATAAAGATTGTAATGTATATTTTATATCTCACTCAAACACTTTTCAAAATAAACTGAAAGTGCATAAAGTGTTATTTTGTCTCAAGCTCCTTAGCCTGACAGACTGTGCTCTGCTTGTGTCTCTCTACGGCAGCATTTCAGATTTATGCAGCTAAAATCTGGAACTGTCTTCCTGAAAATGTAAGACAGGCTTCTACTCTCTCTGACAATGTTCTAATCCAAGTTGAAAACGGTTCTGTTTAACTGTGCATACAACTGAAGAATTGTGTCTTCTCTTTTTTGATGTACTCTGATTACTTATGCCTTTATGAAGTGAATATATGTTTTTGTTGTTGAGCACTTTGTACGAACTGTAAGTAAGTAAGTAAGTAAGTTTTTATTTATATACCGCCTTTTCACTGCATATCTGAGTCTCAAAGCGGTTTACAATTGTTAATTTTGGGCATTTGTCTCTCACTCCACACAGAGATGGGAGCGGGGTCGCCAGTACAGGAAGCGCATGCCAGAACTATTGGACATATTTTTAGTGGTAGGGGAAACCGGAGTACCCGGAGGAAACCTACGCAGACACGGGGAGAACATGCAAACTCCACTCAGAAAGGCCCTGGTCCGACCGGGATTCGAACCCAGGACCTTCTTGCTGAGAGGCGAGAGTGCTATCCACTCAGCCACCGTGCCGCCCCACTGTGTATGAACTGTGCTACTCAAATAAACTTGCCTTGTGGTTTTGCAGCCATGTAATTCCTCATGTTACTGAATTGGTGGTGAGCTCCTTTCGCCTGACGGACTCTGCTCTTGTGGTTTTGCAGCTCCAGGACTCGGTGACGCTGGTTAACCCAGGAGTGGCCCAGATGTGTGTCCGCGACGACAGCCTGCTCCTGGCCTCCGCGGGGTGGGACCATCGCGTGCGGCTGTTCGGCTGGAAGAGGCTGAAGCCGCTGGCCGTGCTGCAGTACCACACAGACATGGTGCTAAGTGTGGCCTTTTCAAATCACTCGGACTCAAAGCAAAGACTTCTGGCCGCGGGATCCAAGGACCAGCGCATCAGCCTGTGGTCTGTATACAATCACCGACCTGAGGAGGCGCTATGAACCTTTTATACAAGTATAAAAGTATCTTTTATACAGCTGCAAGTCAGTTTTGTGTTCTGAGTGTAATTCCTCATTTGTCCAGACTTGATAAATTTGCTTTTTTTCTGCTTATTTGTAAATTGGTTGCAAACAAGACACAAACCTGATTCCATGTTTAGAAATTGACTTTTAAATCTTCATCAAACACTAGCTATCTATCTATCCATTACTGCCTTCAATCATTCATGTAATCTTTTTTTTTTTTTTAAACAAATAAGAATTTATGTTTGATAAAAAGAGATTCATAATGAAAAATAATTTAAATTGCACATACATTTGTCACTTGTGCTCACTGCATTGACCGAAAGCTGGTTTTGTTATTCTGTATACAGTATATAAAAAACACAAGGCACCTGACTTTTGCAAATGTATCCCAAAGTGGTATTAATGCAAATGGTAAAAAAAAATAATCTGAATCTGATTGACTGACTTTACAGTACAATCACTACTTTATAAACTACTTTACAATTGTGTTTTTCGCACCTGTATTCTTATTCCCAGGCAAACGATCTATCCCAGCTTTCTTGCTTCGGCAGGACAGTTATTTGAACAGTAGATGTCATGCTCCATAAAGTCTGTATCTCCTGGGATGAGTCCATGTTAAGAAACGCTTCATGCTTTTCAGGAAACACTTGGGAAATCAACGAGGTGCTGCTTTGTAATGGCCACGTACCATTAGTGAGCAGTGGAAAGACGAGGCCAAAAGATAGACCGGCTTCTGCTTAGTTTAGGTTATATTTGAAATCACAATTTACAAAAAATCACTTGAAAGAGAAGAAATAATTCACATTTTGATGTTCTATAAATGGACACACATCATGAACGCCTGAACTTGACTGTTTCTGAGGTTTGCAAATAGTTCTCTAAAACATGATGAATATTGGTTTTGAGTTTCAGAGCTGAACATGGACTTGAAACATGGAAAAATCTTCTTTGAGCCCATTTTTGTCTACTAAACTGGTAGTTTGAATGAATGAACCATGTGTACAAACTGTTGACTGTTTTGTGACTGTGACATCATGATCTCCTGAAACATGGAGATTAAAATTGTAGAATCATCTCCTCGCTGTGCAGACATAAGTCGGGCCAGTCTTGCTGCCAGTAAAGTACGTTTTCTATTTATCTAGATGCTGATATTGGACCCTTTTATTTAACCAGAGAAATTCCATTGAGATTCTTCCCTAGCCAGCCCAACCGACAAACTTTTCATATAGAGTTTTAAACAGTTATAAAACATACACCATTTTAGCCACACTATTGAAAACGACAATAATTGAATTCCAGACATTAATAAATTAAAACAATTCACACTGAAACACGGGAAGGTTCTGTTCTTGTTTGAAATATGTATTTTCATAAAGAATATGTAAATGTGTACAAAATCTTTATTTCTAACAATTGTTTTCTGTAAAGACTTGAATCTGTCAGCGCATGTTACTGAATTGACAAATCAAACATGTTTTGTCTTATTGACTGTATTTGAATGAAGAATAAAAAAATAACTTTTACTAGACTAAGTGTATAAGTGTAACTAAATAATGAGAAGTACCGTCTTAAAGTCAGAGGAGAAACTAGTGTCCAGGTTTGTCCATGCACCCGACAATGCTCCATCCATTTTCTTCTGTGACCTCTGATGACACCTTGCTTTTAAAATCACTTCCTAACTCTGGTGTTAGCTTTGAACAAACAGAGCGGTGCTTCCGTCCATTCTCTGATAAATCAAATGGTCTATTGGTTATCACGTGAGCTGACTGGGACACTGCTTTACGAGTGACTGCTGCTGCTGCTGAGGATCGGGTGGTTGCCCCAATAAATCACTCCATAATGGATCATTTAGGAAGTCAATACTTGGACAAGCAGACCCCCCCCCCCCCATTACAATTCAGAGCCACAATGGACGCTGGGCTTCACTTAGCGCCTCATGGGTCCTCCTCGGCCTTGGGTGCAAAGGTCAGGACAGGCCGAGGTCCTCTGGGGTCTTCTTCTTGGATGTGAGCTGCATGCCGCCTCTATGTGCATTTTTGTGGTGGTGTTTTTGAAATTAAAAGGGGTTGAGACAGAATTACATGGATTTAATTCTTAACTCGTTACACAGTTGTAAAAAACAAAGATATTCCTGCAGGTGTTCAATCTTTCTTCAAAATAAGAAAAATTCACTATAATCTGAGAGGTTTGCTTCAGTTGGAAACAAGAAAATCCAGAACAAACATTAAAAATAGATGTGTGTTGGAGTAAAATGCGGAATGATCTTAATGACCCTCTTAAGTTAATTAATACATTATCAATATTTAAAACCAACTTAAAATGTGAACTAATTAATTCATATACCTTGCCTTAAAAGTAATAATAATAAAAATATTACAAAGAAAAGTGAACAAAAATACATTGTTCTAGCAAATATGCATTTTATTTTTTAAATCAGTAGTATGTGTTTGTTTTGTTTACATAGTTGCTGTGTTTAAGTAGCTACTGACCCGTATGTGACGTGATGTCAGGTCGGGCTCACATCAGCAAGTTGCTTCAGCCCAATCCTATTTTTGGATGTAATATAGTCAGTGTATGTAATGTGTTATTAATCAAACTACCAAAATAAACATTCATTCAAGGTGGACACAGATGAGCTGATGTATCCCATCACCATCATTTAAGAAATTGTGTGCAACTGTTTATATAAAAAGATAAGATCAACTTTATTGATCTCACAATGGAGAAAGGTGAAAAAAAAGTATATACAGTGCCTTGTGAAAGTATTCGCCCCCTTGAACCTTTCAACATTTTGCCACATTTCAGGCTTCAAACATAAAGATATAAAATTTTAATTTTTTGTCATGAATCAACAACAAGTGGGACACAATCGTGAAGTGGAACGAAATTTATTGGATAATTTAAACTTTTTAAAAAAATAAAAAACTGAAAAGTGGAGCGTGCAATATTATTCGGCCCCTTTACTTTCAGTGCAGCAAACTCACTCCAGAAGTTCAGTGAGGATCTTTGAATGATCCAATGTTGTCCTAAATGACTGATGATGATAAATAGAATGCACCTTAATGCACTGTAATCAAGTCTCCGTATAAATGCACCTGCTCTTTGATAGTCTCAGGGTTCTGTTTAAAGCGCAGAGAGAACCATGAAGACAAAGGAACACACCAGGCAGGTCCGAGATACTGTTGTGGAGAAGTTTAAAGCCGGATTTGGATACAAAAAGATTTCCCAAGCTTTAAACATCTCAAGGAGCACTGTGCATGCAATTATATTGAAATGGAAGGAGTATCACACCACTGCAAATCTACCAAGACCCGGCCGTCCCTCCAAACTTTCATCTCAAACAAGGAGAAGACTGATCAGAGATGCAGCCAAGAGGCCCATGATCACTCTGGATGAACTGCAGATAACTACAGCTGAGGTGGGAAAGTCTGTCCATAGGACAACAATCATTCGTGCACTGCACAAATCTGGCCTTTATGGAAGAGTGGCCATTTCTCAAAGATATCCAATAAAAGTCTCTTAAAGTTGGCCACAAGCCACCTGGGAGACACACCAAACATGTGGAAGAAGGTGCTCATGGTCAGATGAAACAAATCAAACTTTTTGGCCACAATGCAAAACGATATGTTTGGCGTAAAAGCAACACAGCTCATCACCCTGAACACACCATCCCCACCTCAGCTGTAGTTATCTGCAGTTCATCCAGAGTGATCATGGGCCTCTTGGCTGCATCTCTGATCAGTCTTCTCGTTGTTTGAGATGAAAGTTTGGAGGGACGGCCAGGTCTTGGTAGATTTGCAGTGGTCTGATACTCCTTCCATTTCAATATAACTGCTTGCACAGTGCTCCTTGAGATGTTTAAAGTTTGGGAAATCTTTTTGTATCCAAATCCGGCTTTAAACTTCTCCACAACAGTATCTCGGACCTGCCTGGTGTGTTCCTTTGTCTTCATGGTTCTCTCTGCGCTTTAAACAGAACCCTGAGATTATCAAAGAGCAGGTGCATTTATACGGAGACTTGATTACACACAGGTGCATTCTATTTATCATCATCAGTCATTTAGGACAACATTGGATCATTCAAAGATCCTCACTGAACTTCTGGAGTGAGTTTGCTGCACTGAAAGTAACGGGGCCGAATAATATTGCACGCCCCACTTTTCAGTTTTTTATTTGTTAAAAAAGTTTAAAATATCCAACAAATTTCATTCCACTTCACAATTGTGTCCCACTTGTTGTTGATTCATGACAAAAAATTTAATTTTTATATCTTTATGTTTGAAGCCTGAAATATGGCGAAATGTTGAAAGGTTCAAGGGGGCCGAATACTTTCGTAAGGCACTGTATAGGGCTGCACGATTTTGTCAAAAATTGAATTGTGATTTTTCTGATTGACATTTCAATGTAAGCGTAATCAAACAAAAAACATCCATCAATAAATCCAATTTCTTCCCTTTAATCCATTTCTGGGTGGGGGGGGAGTAATGTTTATTTATATAGCACATTTTACAGACCAAGGTCACCCAAAGCGCTTTACAATGTTTTCTCCCTTATGTTTAATCGATGTAAAGAATGTAATTTATTTTTGATAAAATTCCAAATCGTCCATACAAGCACAACTGTAAATATGACCATGATGCAAAGAAGGATTGCCAAAAGAAGAAATGGAGTGTCTTATAAATAACACAACATGATGGCCCCGTCACGACTCACGACAGATGTTCCAGATGCAGCCGAGTGTCAAACGATGCCTCCAGCCGCATTATAATCCATCCTCCGCCTCCTCATTCTTCAACAGCAAAGCTTTGGCATGGACAGGGACATCTGGGCACATATTCACAACTTACACAGCCCAACAGGTTGTTCTGTTTTCCTTTGGGCAAACTGAATGATTTATCCAAAGATTATGGTTTGATATTGGCTAAGCTTGCTGAAAGCATGTCTGTAACCATTTAGGTGGATATGAATAGAAAAATTAAAGAAAGAATGTATATTGTTTCAAAATGTTGAGATCATAAGGTGCAATACCACATATAGCCTCCTGCTGGCGCCATTTCACACATGAAACCTGAGCACAACGTGATTCAATGGAACACGTGATGGATACAATCATTTGATAATTACTGTTGCATTAATGGCAAAGGAGGACATAGTCTTGGCTTATGAAACCAATTTGAGATTCAGCCCGTTTGGAAATATACATATATTTCACTTTAGATTTCACAAATAGATCTTGTAGGCTATAATACATAAATATATAATATATAAATACATTGAACAACATCAATGTGTAGCCTTGTTCACACTAGAATTGACCAGGAATCCTGAGTGCACTTTTCCAGGCACTCTAAACTAAATTTGGGTTTAGGAATTACGTAATGGTTAGGAATATAGTTAATTTGGAAAGGTCAAGGTTGGGAATAAGGTAAGAGTGTGAGACGGAAAAATTTCAGACTTTTCCACTGGATTCCTCCATATAAGTCTATGGACCGGTCCCCATGGTCCCTACCCGACTGTGGACCTGACACGCTGCGTTGACAACACGGTGGGAAATATTTATAAATGATTATTCGTAAGTTGGCTTTCATTCAATACTTTAAACGCTATCTATTCGTTGTTACAGTGGCACAATATCCTGAGAATATCATGTGGCGCTTGTTTCAATAATGTAGCCGATAGCCGCCACTTTTACTCTAGCAGACTATACAGAAGAATTCAGATTCAGATTCATTTATTTACCATTTGCAGTAAAACCACATTGGAAAAACTGTGCAAGACTACCCCAGTGTCCACCAGTTTTTTGTTTTGTTTTTTCAGATTCAGTTAATTATCATGAACTGTGCATCTTCAAGTTCGTGGTGTGCTTTAAAGATAGTGGAAAGATAATTTAACCCATGGCCCTATTACAAGCCTGTTTAGGAGCCAGGGCAGGGGTCGCTCTGCGCAGCTGCTCCAGGACAGAAAAGACGATTCGAACAAACTGTGATGTTACGTTTCCTTTTGTATCGTGACATACACAAATCCCAAAGCAGTGTTTTTCTTCCAAACGAGATTAACCTTGACTACAAAGCTGTTCCCAAACAGGACTTCAAAAGGGCACTGGAAACGACAATGCAGACAGGAGGTGTGCACTCCTAAAATATCAGGGAACTGTCCCATTAAAAATGAACAATGATATCCTCCCGAGTGAGAGGAAATGTACTTTTCCAGTGTCTGTGGACTGACACTAGAGCTTATTTATGGGCTGTACTCTAGGCTTGCCACTGTAAGGCCTACCGCAGGACACAAGACCTTTTTTATGAGATTTTCATATAGGCCTGCTACTGTAAGGCCTACTGTAAGACACTTAACCTTTCCACGATAGCTTGAAAATTCACATGTTTGCAATTATTGTTTCAGTAGATAATTGAATTGCTATAATGTATAATACTGTTCATCATCCAATAAGAGCCTTTGTTGTTGCAAATTGTACTTTAATTTAAGCTGGGGTACCTAACTTATAAGTAATACATGTTTTTTTGTCCATGTGAAATGTGAACAGATAAGAACACATATCATGCCGTCTTCAATCATTTTAGATATAGAAAAAGCCAGAGTCACTATTTGATGCATTGGGCGGAGCGCTGATTGGCTGAGTGAGTGTGGTCCTCTCTTTTACATGTATCAGTCTGAAAATGCTTTATTAAAATACAAGTTATAGGCATGCGAAAAGTTGATCCAAACGTTTTCAGAGCAAGGATTTTACAACATATTTCCATGTTTAGTGATTTTTGTACGTTTTGTAATTAAAGCTGTGTCGCCCAGCTTTAATTACAAGAATTCTTTTTTCTGTGCAAACTAGTGTGTGTTGTTTTTTTGCTGTAATCCCAGGTGCAGACGTGAGCAGCAGCATAATGCAGCTCCCTGATGTTTGGACAGCTCTGACTGCAGCAGCGGCGGATTGCTCCACTCATTCAAAAGCTGATCCGGTGAGAACAATGCTATCAGTGAGGTAAATGCGTTTCACTCTCTGCCTCCAGCACTGACACTCAGCCCTTTTCAATAGAAGATTGGCACATTTTTCATGAATTACAAGAATTTAATGTTTATTTTACACTTTACAGAACAGTCATCTGCTTCATTTGTATTTACTTTGAATTGCTGCAAGTCAGTGCCATAGTACAAGCTTCTCAGAGCGGCTCAGGATGTTCCAAAATCAATCTTTCTCTTTCTTTTTGAATTTTTTTCATTTAACATCAAACAAAAATGTCCAATTTGTGTTTCCTCTCTGATGAGCTCAGCATGCAAACATCTCATCTATGCAAAAGGCTGACAGACTATATAACATAATATGGCTTTTTTAAAAGCATTAAAAACAAGGCAAAAAAAATCAAAAAGTGCATCAAACACAAAAAAACAACTTTTCCAGTCCGTGCTCAACAACTTGGGCATGAAGTCTCCTTTGGTTTCTTCACTGTCAACACTGCTCCTGTATCGGCCCGGTGTGGGACAGGCCAATAAAGGTCAATGTGGACCTTTTGTACTGGCTCCGAGCAGGTGCCCCAGCTTCCTGCAATGGTGCGTTTGTTTAAATAAATACCACAGTTTTTGCTCTGTGAATGCACCACTCAGGTTGCCCCGGCCTCAAAAGACAGGATTGTTTTGCCTTGACCCCGCAGTGCTTTTTCCTCTTTGTGCAGTCATTATCTGGGCCCATAGTCGTAGTTAGCCGGGCAGCTCGTGGCTGAGTACATGTTTGCCGCAGGGTTCATGTGATGGTGGTAGGTTGTGTGTCGGATACTGGGTAAGGGGTAGGGGCTCGGCCTGGTCTTTGCACCCAAGTAGTGTTCGTACGACGTGGGGTATTTGTAAGGGTGGTGGTGGAGGGTGTCTGGGGGGAGAGTGGTGCCGGGGTGGTCGTGTGGAGGACTGGGACGACCCGTGGTGAGGGAGACCGCGTGGAGGCCTCCGGGGACGGGTAGGGCCGGGCTGAGGACGCGGGACATGAGCTGGTGAGCTGGGTCGCCGTGGTGAGGGGTGCCACTGGGGTCTCGCTCGTACTCTCGCCTGCTGTCTTCTGCAAGGAGAGACGCGCGTTACTTTGGGAACCCACAAAAGCTCATTTACAAAGAACTTAGAACTCCACTTGGCAAAATGTAGCGTGTTTTTAACAAACATAATTAGATTGGTGTTTAAAACGTATTTTACCAGCCAACTCCAGAAGCATTTAGAAAGGACTCAAATCGTTGGCACAGAAGTGGCATGCTTTCATTGGAATCTGCTAATTCCAACTAATTGCAATTTGGATTCAATTTAACATATTTCTTGCTACTGTTGATCTTCATGATAATTACTCTATAGCATAATATTCAGCAAATGCTTGTATTTTATAATGTTTTCTTGGATTTTACTGCTACATTTCACAGAATTTGTGTCAGTGGCATAAAGAACACTGGAAAATGAACTATGAGAAAAATACTTGCAGATATTTATGTTGCTCTGGGTTTTTGTTTTTGTTTTTTTACAATCTATGGATTAAACATTATTCAAATTGATTAAGAAAAAATCCCAACTTGAATTAAGACTAAACCGACTAAGACCTGCAAACCTGGGCCCTTTTTGTTGAGTTAAAACATGCTTAAATCAACAACAATATTTTTTGCATAATTAATTCTCGTTTTTTCATTTTAGTTCAAACATTAACAATCACATGCTCTGCAATACTGTATATAGTATAGTCAACTGTTCTTTTGAATGGCCAGTAACCTAAAAGTATTGAAATAATTTTAAAATATTGTCCCACTAATTGCATTAATTGCTGACTAATGTCTGTGTGTTTTGTGTGTTTTAATAACAAATTGATTAGAAAAAAGAAACACTATACATTGAATACATCTCATTATGACACTGGTATTGATAAAGTCTCAGTTTGGTTGATTTACACATGCAGTCCAACAAAAGGTAAGGAAATGTGATGTTTAATTTTTTGAATATTAACTAAAAGGTGAAGACCAATAATAGGATAGAGCTTTGGTTTTTGCTCTGGCATCTCATGGGAAACACATGCATTGAAATCACTGCTTACATGAATTTCAGAAACCATTAGTTTAATTTAATTTCCTTTGACAAACATTTTTCTTTTTACGTTTGTTTAAAAATATGCAATTACAATAAACTATAATACTATTTCTTCCATTCAAACTCAACAACCTTTGGTAAAACAAAAATAATGCTCACAGTTCTCTCACACGTTGCCAAATGTGCAGAGTGTGATGACTTTCTGATTTTAAAACAGACCTCAGACTCTGGGGCATCAGAGTGTTTCAAAGTCTGTGTGAATGCACCAACAGTAAAACAGTGTGTTACCTTTGTCGACTCCGTTCTGCTGTGGGGGAGAGGACATGGGGTTTCTCGTTCTGGCGAAGGCGCTCATTATTGGCAGTGAACCGGGCCGGTGATTCCTGGGCCTGCAACAGCGGAGCAGAGACATCACATCACATACACGCTCTTTTAATGCACGCCAAGGGGACATTTTCTTTGTTATAGTTTCAGACGATGGATGACTATATGAGGTTGTTAGCGCTAATCTTGGACTTTTGCAAATAGATAGAATCTTCAAAAACTGTGTGGGCGTGTGTGTGTGTGTGTGTGTGTGTGTGTGTGTGTGTGTGTTAGTGTATGTGTGATTAGGGGCCAGAAGGCTAATACGTTTAGCAAAGAAAGTTGGAGTTATGGACACAATGAATTAGTCAGGGACAGAATTCTTTGCTTGCCTGAATCTTAACAATAGATTGTGCTGATGTATAGGGAGAGTACACAGCATCAATAGTATATTTACATTTTGTACCACTCCAATTTTAAAATGTAAAGCTTCTCCAAACCAGAGGTAGGAGAATCGTGGGGTAATTATTGGATTAGCAAAACTTGTAGCAAAGTGCATTTTAAGTGCTTTAATGTATGGATGTAACCGTATGTTTTTTGCTGAAACCCTTTCTAGAAACATTCTTTACTTTGTTTGCGGTGGCAGCAGTAAGTCCTGACGAATGAAGACAAAACAGTCGGGAACCACTGCTCTATTTATTTTCATTATGTATTTATTTGTCCAAACACAGTTTTATTTATCTTAGTCACTTAACGTTAAGTCCAATGGTTTCTGTTATTTGAGTGCAACTAATTTAAAATAGGTTTGTTCTTAAGTTGTTACATGAATTAATTTGTAGATGTTTTTCCAATTGAATATTTAAACACTCACCAGTCCTCTGGGTCACAGTCCCGGAATCCTTTGGCAAAAGGATTACTGGCTATTTTTAGTTGTGTGATCTGCAAAAAAACACCAAAATCACCATAATGGACGTCACCACCAGACCATGTTGTTTGGACTGGGCCAGAAAATGATGAAACTTCTCAAAGAATTTAAAACCTGTATACATTTATTTAGTCTCTGACTATTTAAGAATTCAACATAAGGATACTCAAACAAAGAAAATATTTGGTCGCCTATATTTAGATTTAGATTTTATGATAAAGCTCTTGTTTCAACTGCATCTGCAAAAAAACATCATTTGCAACAAAGAGGGAATGTTTTGCATGTTAAGTTAAAAGACTATTCTGCATATGTCGATCTTCAGCAAGACACCAAGTGTTTGGCATTACTCTATTTAGACAAAAAATATAAATATGGGGGAAGAATATATAAATATTGTATCACTATATTACTGACTTTAAGATGTCAAATGTCAAATACTATTTCAAGAGCAGAAAACTTTATTTGTCACACACAAGTTGCATTGAACCACAGTGGTTTAGTTTTTGATAGTAATATATATTACAACCTGTTACCTGTAATTAGTTACACTACTGAGTTACTTAAAAGTCATGTATTACTTAATAACTGTAGTTAGACTTTTTCTATGAGTGAGTCAGAAACAATGTGCGCCAAATCTCTTTTCACACTTATCTGTCTGTTTGATTCAATTCTTAAAATAAACTTGGAAATGTGTCTGTTATGCGTCTTTGACGTTGCACATTTGCCTCCAAAAAAGCATGATGGTTGTTATCTTGTTCTCACCCGGTGGTTCTGATAGGCCGTGACCGCCGTGAAGCGCGTCTCCTCGAACACAAACGTCTTGTAGTTTTCCTCCGCGTACTTCTCGCTGTCTTTGCGCGGGTCCACGTAGACCACATGGAACCGGGGCTGGTAGCGGTGCATCGAGTTCAGGATGATCTACAATCAACAAACAGCGTGAGTGCTTTCAGAGACACGTCCTGCAGTTGGAATCACGGAGCAAAGAAGATCACAAAACATGGACCTTCAGATTCATGCGCTGCAGCCTATAGCCTGAGCGTGTTTCACTCAATGTTTTACCCAATTTACAAAATTGAAGCTACATCACATGGATGATTACGCGCAGAATGTCTATTTTGGGACCATATTATTTTTCTTCCTCTTTTTGAAGTTCAGGTTCTGATACCACTTTACTATAATGACCTTTATACAGACAAATAACTATTTAGCAATTTGCGTTTTCGTTCAGTGTGTAATAGGGTACTTACAAACTCACACGTAATAAAGTATTAGTTTCTGGTGTTTTTATATGTGTGTTACCATCTTTCAAATTTCCGACCTGTGCGTAATTGTTGAGGCATGCACCGTGCGTAAAAGCAGGAGGCTGTGTCGCGAACTCACATGGCCGTTGTCGTCCAGCAAGTTATTGGTGAGTTTGAGTTTATCAAACGACACGATCTGCTTCATCCACTGCGCGCCCTTGGCGGGGGAGTCCGGGTGGTAGTGCACCCTACCCGGGGTCGCGGGGTCCGCCTTTCCCGCTACAAGCCACGACGAGCTGTGGAACGCGTATCTGTGGAGCACGCACTCACGCGTTAGAACACACTTTTACCAAGAGCTTTTGAATTTGTGTTGCATCACATGCACTTCTTTTTGGTCCTACCTGTAACGTTTGTCGTCCACCGGTAAAAAGTCCATAAGAAGCATGTAATCTGCCATTGGATCCATCCCAAATATTTTAACTTGAAAAGTTGGAAACATCCTCCTGAAAAATGATTATAATTAGATATTCTTATGTGATAATACACTTTCTTTTGACGTGTGTGTACAGTTCAATGGGCTAATCTTATACCGATCAGCCTCCACAGTCAATGTCCCTTCACTTTTTAAAACAAAACTTATTTGGGTTAAAGTTTAAAATAATCACGAGAGTAAACAAAAGCGTTCATGAGAACGATAATATTGTGTGTAAAACTGAGTTGATCTCAGATTGCTCTTTGGCCCATGCGCAGTCACTTTCATTTTGCTTCTGCTCTTGAGATGATTTCCAGCAGCTCACGTGCACGTGCATGGGCATACGTTTACGGGTTTGTTTGTTGTTGCTTTTAGCGTTTTTACGAGTCCCCCATGAATACACTTTATTTCATTTTCTCAATTTATTTTATTTAATTTTGGCGTCCAACACATGCGTAAACTCTGGCCATCAGCAGCTCTGTAGTGATCCACAAAGTCAGTGAAAGGGATCCCAAAATCAACGCTCAATTACCATCAGTGTTGTGGCTTGGTGAGACTGAAGGAGCTTTTAAAGAGCAACGAGGATCTCCTTTCTCCTGTCACTGAAACGTTACCCCTGCACTTTCAACATGACACCGATCATCCAGACCCATGCTCTTATAGGCCTATATATGTAGACATTTCTTTATGTTTCATTATGTTTCAACACATTATGCGGTTGTATTTAATTTGGACAAACTCAAATAGGTAAGTCTAAATGAAGATATTTAATCTTAAGATATGTAGCACAATGTTCTGTGTTTTAAATATCACAGCTATTTTGTTTTTATTAAAACTATCTTGTTTAAGTAATCATTCCTATTGTTCTGTAATGTGCACAGAAACACTGACATTTCCTCATGGAAAGCTTCACGTATTCTGATAAATGAGACCAAGAGCGCCGACTTTAAAAGTTCTGCCATTGCAATTGCTGTATTTAGTCCTGAAATAATACTAAAAATATAATAACTAACTAACAAGAACTATAAAGTAATATAATAATTAATAACACAACGGAAAACCCCTGTATATGTTATCAGCAGATTAGTTTTATAGTGTTCACATAAAACAATAACACAGTCCTAGATCATATATGGTCATACATTGAGCGTTTATAATATTTGTCTCTGTATACAATTTGATTATGAGCTGTTGCCAATATGTCCTATTGGGAATGTATTTCTATATATTACATAAACAATACATTTGAGAAGCCTGATCAAAGCCGCAGTGCTCACCTCCCCGCCTTCGTGACGATCATCTCCGTGCCCAGTTGGTTAAACTCGTCCCATAACGCTTTCATCTCCAACTGCACGTTTATGTTCGCCACTTTAGGGTTTTTCTTCACACTGTTTTTGCTGTTTGGAGTGGAGCTGGACGAGGACGAGGAGCAGTTGGGAGTGCCCGCCTCGCTCTGCGGGCCCTGGCCCGTGTTGGAGCCGGGGTAGCTGTAGCCGTGCTGCGCTGCGGGACACGGCTCAAAGTGGGACTCGTGCTGGCCGTACGGGTCCCCGGGGGACGGGGAGAGGTGGTAGCCTCCCGCCGTGTTGAGGCTGCTCAGGCTGCTCGTCGTGAAGGCTGCAACATCGCAAAAATGGGACAGCTGCGTCAGCCACGGACTGGATATGGCTGAAATCATCCCAAAAAAATGGATTTACTAAACGCGTCAAAATCGTTGTCAGAGAAAGTACATGTAGAAGCAGGTTCAGGCACTTCCAAATATTGTTGCCCAAAACAAATGTGGCATTTTGATTTAAAAGTTTCCTTGTTCAATAATATCCCGGTGTATCCAAAACGAATAAGCTATTTCACAACAGCTAAAACTGAAGCTGGTGAAGTTGTTCCATAATAATCTGAAAATAATATGCGCGTGCGTAAAACCACAGCCCTGCGGATCGATCGCTCTCAGCAGCTCCTGGTGTATTGAGTGTTCAAGTGAAGCAGGCTAGTCTCTTATCTGACGCAAGGGCCTCCCCTTTGCGATAAACCGGTTCTTATTCCTATTTAGATAAGGAACTGCAGGTAATATGCCCTTTCCTTGGGACGGGACTGATTGACAGAGAAGTGCGTCCCTTTTTACAGTCTTTCCGGCACCCTGTTATACTTATGGATAAGAGCCTATAACAAACAGTGTGCGCTGGAGTCAACAAGGTAAACACTCATCGATTTGCATCAACAAACAAACAGGTGACTCCGCCTGTTCTGATTGGACAAACAGATCCACAGGGCACGATTTAAACGCGCTGTTATCGGCTCTTTTTACGCACTTATGCTCGGGGAGGAGAACCTGAGCAAACCCCTTATGGTTAAAGCTGTACGTGTCAACTTTGGTCTGGGTAAAACTTATTTCCCACTCAATTTTATTTCTGGTGTTGTCTATTCAGCGCTCTCCATGCAGCTTTTTGTTGCATCTGAATCCGGCAAACTTTAACATCGCTTTGATTGTGTATTTTGTAAAGGTGAATAGTTACAATCTATAGCACAGTGTTGCAATCGTAGGTAAGAACTGTTTACCTTCCATTTCCCGGGTGACAGTGCTGTAGTGCATTTTAAAAGACGTGCTGTTGTGCAGGTCTGCCTTGTCCAGGCCACCGCTGCTGTGTTTATCAAACGCCGCGTTTCCTGCTAGTTCCGCAGCTGAGATCAGAGAGGCAATACTGAACGCATTGGCCTTTGGAGAGAGGGGGCCGCCGTCGTCCATAGGCGAGAGATCGACTTGTTAAAAACTTCCCTCCACCTTCCCCTCCGCTTGGCAGCCGCGCAGAGAGCAGGAGAAGGCTGCACACAATGGGCAAGGGCATGCGCCAAAACTAGAGACGCTCACATTCCGCCACGGTGCGCGTCGCAAAGAGTTGTGTATAGTATTCCCAGAGTTTGGTAAAGGCGAAGAAAGCGCTCCCAGCTGTTCTAAACTCCGTCAGCTCATAGTTTGCGAGGCAGCGTAGAAAGTTTCTCCTGTGGACGGTGGTGAGGTGGTGTCATCTGAGTCGTGGCTTCTGCTGCTGCGAGAATGTCAGAGTAAGCTATCCACGCCTCCTCTGCGCCACCAGGAAAACTGTGCCTGCATGCGCTCTGTACTCTGTGTTTTATTCCAACACGACCCCGTCACTCATTTGTAGACTATCATTTTGAAGTCAGACAGTGCACGATGCTGGGATGTATCCTTATGCAAACACAATATAAAATGCAGTAGATCCACATCCATACAGTGCTCGTTCATGCACGACTTTTAAAGGGTTTGGACTTTGCCTATAAGTGCATAATTGCGTAACCTTTCAGACAAAAGGTGGAATGGATTGCAAAGTTTGGGGATAGCCTACTTTAATCCCTTGTAATTGTCTATAGCCAAAGACAACGTCTTTCTATATGAGCATGTATTATAGAGACATTGTGTCCCTGTAATCCAACATAATATAATAGGACCACATTTCATATTGTACTTCTTTATTACCTTTTTTGGAAATTGACATGTAACATTAACGTGTGTCCACATAGGCCTGAAGAAAAAGTATGTAAACGAGGCATCTCGGGCCTCGCTGTTAAACTTGACCTCTGCTGCTCGCCCATTGGCACTATGCTTCATATGCGCCGCGTCCAAAGGGCTGTTTGTGGCCAGTGGTGGAATAGAGCCCCATTTACACAGTAACGAGTGAATTAAACGCGGAAGGCTGCAGCGGGGCACTAATGAGATAAACCAGTTAAGGGATTAGGGTATTTGTTTTGGATGTTTCGCTGCTGGGGCCCGCGAGCATAAATAAACCTCAGTCTATTTGTTTAGGCAAATGGATAGACTTTTCTTGGAAAGGCCTTTTTCTCTTGAACAAACTAAGAAATAGTGCTTGTTGTTAATAATATATTATTTGTAAGAGCCTGTATCAGATCAGGCATCGGTCATCAGGTCGGAAGCACTATTCGTGCGCGTCCAGGTGATAATAGACAAAATGCAGAAACAAAACGAAAAGGAAAGACAGTCTTGGAATTTGCTGCAGGCCACGGCAGGGCCGTGCTGCCCATGGGGAGAACTTTATTACTATAAAAAATAAGTAATTTACTTGGAAAATATAAGCCTTTATCGGAGCAGAAACCTACTTTTAATTACCATAAAATATATAATAATATGGTTTAATACATATACAATATGAAAATCCAACGAATTGTTAATTTTTACAGCTTCCAACAAAACAAAATACGTAGGCATTTTGCCATCGCCAATTTTATTGTTGTTTTCATCGTATTTTTTGTGATAATGTTCATAAGGCTTTTTTAGTATCGCGCTTTGCTTTTACGCACGGCGCAGGCCACAACAGTAGCTTGTAAATTGGCTTCAGTTAACATAAAGGGAAATAAAAACATGAAGATAACACAATAGGCTTGCAGCGTGCAAGCATTTATCTGGGCTTAGCAAATATCACAAAAACGATACTTGGCTCAACATTTGGGTGTAACCTGCGCAACAAAACTATTTGTAGTTTTTTTATTTAATTGATCATTAATTGCATATTAAATTAAATTGCAAGATTTCTGTTGGTTCAGAAAGTATTCACGCAGCTCAATCGCGGACGTAGCTGTTTATTCATGGCGCTCTGTCTGAGTTTTTAAGGGTATTTCTTTTCATTCAGCGCTTTCAGGATTATAAATCAGAGCTGAATCTGTTGACCGTATAAACATGATGATTTCTACTCTCATGATGCACTGTGGCCCATGCCCGGCTGTGCTCCATGTCTAATGTCTCTTCAAAATATTAGTGTAAATCTCAGAATCAGACGAGAGGAAGTGGGTTGTTGACCGCTGACAGCAGAGGCCAGGCCCCAGGCGCGATAGCTCCGAGAAATCAGTAAACGCTCCCCAGGTATAGGGCCTCAGCTGTGGCACGTGACAGGGGCCCGAGGATCCACTCGCTCCAAATCTTTATGTAGTCATTGTTTTACGTCCTCAAGATAAGGCTTACATTGCTTTATTTGGACAAAATCAAAACAGACGCGTGCTGTGAAAACCCTGCAATTTGATTCATATAAACTTTAAAATATGGACGACCATTATCCCAAATTTACTTTTGACCAATCATAGAGGTTTTCATAGACTTTTATTTGGTTGTGCGCTTCAGAAAAGTGTCAACAATGATTGTTTTCTTAATGCTTTGGCATGTGAGATAATAAAACAGTGTCCTCAAAGAGAAATACTCTGCATAAAGCTTTAAAACTACTGAAAATATCTGTACGTTTAACTGATTTTTCTGTTTTACAAAAGAAGTAATACATGCAGCAAGTTATTTCAGCCGTAACACAAAAGCTTTTTTTCGCACAATGTTTATAAATAATATAGCTATCTCTAAACTATAACTGAAGACTGAAATGTTGGCTGAAAATGTTGAAGAGGATACATAAGTGATTCCGGAAGAATTATTTTTAAAGAAAGTTGTGTTTATGATTTTGTTTTACTCATTTTATTTTGTTTTAAATCGTTTGCATTTAAATAAAAAGTTAAATGGATTATTGTAAAACAAAGAATTATCAACTTTTTATTTTCAGAAGTGGGAAGAACGTAAAGCCGTAAGGAATGCCATATAGAACGTAGACTGGTGGGATGGGGGTGTTTGGTCAGATCTGTTTTCAAAATGACTTCTTCTCTTTCTCGCTGTTCTTTGTTTTAACACTAGGAAGCTTTTAGCTTTTGAAAAGTATCCTTTCCTATCTGTTGCGCTGCTGCCCCAGTCGTCATCACCTCGCCTCTCCCCTCAGCCCTATTGGAGCGCTGGTAAATAGTTGGCATTCCTGCCACAAAGAAGCACTGATGTGGGCCCTGGGCCTCCGTGATCTGCTCAAATTAATAAGGCCTTTCTCGTGGTGGAGGAGGATCTGCAGCCTTTGTGTCTAATACGTCTTAAGCCTCATATTAAACTCAAGGGCACAGTCTGTTCTCATTATAAATCCATCAGTGCTGCTCGGCCTGTCTCTGTCCTGTTAGTCCTGAACAGAGAAGCATCTCGGCCTTGCTTATCTGCCCCTCCCTGCTCCCCTCTGCTACTATTTATTTGAATTTGAGAAGGTCTGCTTGTTGTTTCTATAGCATAAGTCTGAGACTTCTCCTTCCATGTCTCTCTCATTTGTCAAAATCAGCTGTCTCATCCAGAACTTTCCTGAACTTGGACACAGAGCTACTTCAGAAAAGAGCATGCGACTATGGGGGAGGTCACATGTAAGTAAGTAAGTAAGTAAGTTTTTATTTATATACCGCCTTTTCACTGCAGATCTGAGTCTCAAAGCGGTTTACAATTGTTAATTTTGGGCATTTGTCTCTCACTCCACACAGAGATGGGAGGGGCCAGTACAGGAGGCGCATGCCAGAACTATTGGACATATTTTTAGTGGTAGGGGAAACCGGAGTACCCGGAGGAAACCTACGCAGACACGGGGAGAACATGCAAACTCCACTCAGAAAGGCCCTGGTCCGACCGGGATTCGAACCCAGGACCTTCTTGCTGAGAGGCGAGAGTGCTATCCACTCAGCCACTGTGCCGCCCTGGTCACATGGTCTCTTTATGATTGAATCAGTCACTTTGCTGTGGCTACTTTTTTTTTTAGCAGGTTTAAATGTCCTTGCCAACATTTTATTAAAATCTTCTACTAAGTCCTTATTTATTATTTCCTATTATGTTTTGTTTAGGATGAGGACAAGTTTAAGAAGGCATCAAACTCGAATCTCAGTTTATTTAGTTTGAGATTGCAATGCATTCTTTGGGCATTTCATATTACTCTCTGCAACTCCACCTAAAGCTTTCTTTGGGGTACTTTTTCTCTTACAGGATCATGTCGCATTTCACCACATAATATGAATTGTGTATTCATATTCATATAGAGTAATGTGCGCAACAACACAATCAGGAAGTGATTATAATATTATGGAGGCTCCATTCCCCAAAACAGAGTGAAATTAGGGGATCAGTGGCACACACTGGGATCTGACCTTGAACACCGATACCAGTCCTCACGCCGAGACTGCTGCAAAAGGAGACAGGAAAACGGGCTACAATGTGGCTTTTTGTTTGGGTTTAGTACAGGAGATTTGGGGCGAGTGGGGAATATCGGCTCTTCCTGTGCTCCTCGTCTGTGATGAAGAGCAGGAAGTCAGACAGGAGGTAAACAATGTGCAAAATGGAACTGATACCAGTGCTTGGAATTCACGCCCACATCCCTGTCGGTGTGATTCATGTTGACTGGTAAAGGATGGACTTTCCACTTAGAGGCCGCCATTTTAGTTACAGTATGTACCTCTCAGTATGTACTGTATCTCCAGCTTGTGCACAAAATATACAGTACACAGCGATAAAAATAACAAACCCCAGCTAAAACTCAAAATAAGTGTGGTGGAGAATAGAGATTTTTACAATTAACTCTATAGACTTTAAGTTTTGGGTTCATGGCTATTTCTTTGTCAGCCATGTCATGATGATGCTGAATCTGTGTGAGAGTCTTTGTCCAATCACAAGGAGCTTTGGGCTGTCCATTGCTGACTGCAGTGATCCATCATAGCAGCCACTCCCTGCCACCACACGTTTGTTTTGATCTCTTCCTCCTAAACACGGTGACAGTGAAAGATGAGGGACCATGTGGCAGGCCCAGCTCCATGCCACGCAAGCTCTCCTGGGCCAAGGCTCCGAAATGTGTGGTCGTAGTCGCCATTTTGAATTCAATATTTTGTACTGAGACCAGTAGTCAACATTTTGATTGTAGAACACAAATTACATCAAAATTAAAGCCAGTAGACAAATATACATATACATTTACCAAACCAAAGCTAAAGCGATGCCACTCGAGAGCATCTTCAAGACTAGATGTACCATAGTTAGTTGTTTGAGTAGAAATACTTCCATTCAAACACTTAATTACATCTTTATCATTCTTTAGTAATTATAGTCTTGAAATTTGTTCTGCGCATGCTTTGGTAACATTTTTTTTTAGCTTAGGTACTTACTTAGTAAAAAGTAAAAAGCAGACAAAAGTAATATTCTTAGACAATATTTTGGTTCAGTTATGGTTCAAAAACAGATGAATGAATTACTAGAAAGATGACAGCTTTTCCAATAATTGATTAGTTGCGATTAATCAATTAACTTGTTGCATCCGTAATAATAATATTAGTAAATGGGCTGAACATTGGAAGAGCCTGCGTGTTGAAAAGGCCAGTACAGAGAATTAAATAGTTTGACTTGAATGCCACTTTTGATTGTTTAGTGAAAGCCTGGCGGTTCCAGTTAGCTGACCCCCTTGACAAATATTTCCGTAAAAACATCTGGTTTGATTCAGATTTCCTACCAACATTATTTTTTAATTTCAATGTATTACTGCATTAAGTCTTAAAGCCTCACTCACAATCCTTAATCCACATTTGTTCGTGGTCCTCGTCAAACACATTGAAACGGCGTTCGAACGTTCACTCTTGTACTATTGATTCAAAATGGCCTCCTTGCAGCCCCCACCTCTCCAGTGCTCTTGGGCGGCCGGGGTCTCCTGTCCGCTCTGCTAATTACAAACCCGACAGTGTAACTTTAGGTGACGGGGGTATTAAGGCATGTTGACTTGTGTTCACCAGAGGCTGAAGCTGACACCGGGGCTGGTTCCCTGCAGAGCGGACAGTTCCTGAGCCCCCCGCTCTCGGCTGGGGACGCTGCGGCCCGCACAGTCACATGACCATCTAAAATAAAAGCCCTGCTGTGTTCGCAATGTCAAACACTTCCTCCATTAGGGCACCGTCCATGTGTCCGGCCACATTTAAGAACCAAAGCTCCAGAGATGGCTTTTGATAAAACATAATAAAAGCATATCACTGCATCTTTACAGGTCTATGTTGGAGGCTTTAATCTTTCTCTAAAAAGGAAAATTATATCAAATGAGGTCTATTTAAAACTGGGGAACCTATCTTTCAAACCACAACAAAGGTAACTATGTTAAAAAAATCCACCTAAATCTCAAGTTTTTGTACTGTTTTTGTCGTCTTTCACATCTTTAGATCAGCTTTTTCAGACAGAAAAGTGAAAAAGAGGGCCACTGTTAATGCTCGAAGAGTCAAATAGTAAAGCTTTTTACAAGTTTGCAAAAGATAGGATTTCTTCTGATAAGATGAAGACAGGATGTCTGATTTGTTCACAATATTTTACTTTTGCATTTCTCTTTAGAGAGTTGTTTATGAAACAAGAAAGTTACCTAGATCCAAAAAAAATTCCTCTCTTTAAGGGCTATTACGGCATTGGCGTTTGTGAACTGATAAAGGTTTACAATTCATTGGCTGCAATATTTCAATCTTTCATGACTAATATATCAAAATATATTATTATGAATATTCTGAAACATAAGAGTTGGTCAAGCAAGATACATTCCTATTGACAATATGACAAACCTCTCAGCACTGTTTCACACAGGAACAAAGGTTATAATCTATTCATAATTTATTCTTCATCTTGTTACCATTATCCCTAAAAATATGTTTTTCAAATCTTGCTGGCTGATTAATGGCACATTACTGCAGGCTAGTTTCCTTTAGCCATATTCTGAAGCCATTTACTTAGTGTTCTTAAAACAGCCTTTTGTATTTGTGCATGACTTCTCGGGCCATTAATCTTCTTGTGATTCAGCGTGTCTGTGTGCTGGCACATTTTGTCCGGTCTCCATGTAATGATATTTATTAAAACGTGTCTTTTCTTGCTGTTCGTCTCTCGCGAAGGTGACATCACTGGCCTGGATACTGGACTGTGTTTACATTATGAACTATAGAAGAGGAAGACTATAGCCTGAAGGGAATGAGCAACTTTAGTCTGTGGAAAAGTAATCAAAAAGTAAGTTCATAGGATTAGTAGCTCATAAAACAAAAGTGCTGTTAGAAAATAAGTCAATTTAAAATGATCTATAGTGGAATTACTTTAAATTGATATTAGTGATAAGGCTGGCCATGATAACAAATGTTCACAAGGATACATTGCTACAGGTATAGACTAGGATACTTAAGGTACTTATGGTACTTATGGTACTTATGATAGACTGCATTACAAGGAAATGGCAACAATCTTCACACACTTGAAAAGACAGACTACAACATATGTTACGCTGATATATGGAATGTAACACTGAGTTATACATGCACATCACATACATGTATAGTTTGTTTATACAAAAATGAATGGAAAGAATTAACCAGAATTCTTCTATCGTTCATGATTGGTCTAAAATAAAGGAAAAATAAACCTGAGTATTAATATCGGTTATGAACCGTTTTGAGATGCCAATAGATTTCAATTTTTTTTTGTAATTGTTAAACCTATTTAAATATTTTTTCAAAAACAATAAAGACACAAACAGTTCCAGGACAGTAAAGAACTTGCTGATGATGCAGCAGCAGTGTGGAAATGGCTGTGTCTCCAGCAGGGCGAAGACAATAGCTGCAGCTCCCCTATGTGGTTTTCTGGTGTAAGAGCAGACAGCGTGACCTGGGGAGCCCTGGGCAGCCGCCTGGCATCAGCTCCGGCATCAGCTCCGGCATCAGCTCCGGCATCACCTCCGGCATCAGCTCCGGCATCACCTCCGGCACAAAGCCACTCTCATCTGAGGAGCACTGTTGGAACGCGGTCATGTCCTCCCTCAGAGTCCTGCTTCAGAACGTGATGCTATAACACACATATCCAAAGGAAAAACTGATAATAATAAGCACCAAACCACACAATCCTACAAAAAATTGAAAAGGAATTTAGATTTTATATTATAAAGGGGATGGCTAATTTTGTTTAAAAAAAACCTGAAAAAAATCCAGAGACCTGATTAAAAGGCTAAAAGTACTCAGTAAGTATGAAGAGAAGACTGATTTAAATTTTAGGGTTGTCAATTAAATCAGACATTCATAATTCTTTTGAGAAATACTGGAAAAAATAAAATGTAATGTACATTGCTCTATTTCAAAACTTGTATAAACATTGTGATAAAATACAAATATGTATTTCTTATTATTGTTAATGCAAAAATGTAATTTTAGTATCCATGATGGCTATACACTGAGCATGCTCTATTTTAGAAGAATCAATTCCAATTATTATTTTAATTTCAAAATATTATTCAGTATTCACCCTTTCCCAAACGGTGCTTGCTTATCCATGGACTCTTTTAACAAGTGGTTGGAGTTGCCAGAAAATACATTTCTCTCATCACCTGTCTCTTTATAAATGACAAACTGCCCACAATTCAATACGCCTGCACAATATAACTCAGTGTTATTGCTATCTCAATATCAACAGCGTCTCGTACAAAAATAAATTATGTCATTTGAAATTACTGGCAAGTGACCAATCCAGTATAAGTTAGTAAGTATAAGTAAGTATCAGTTGTTTCTATGTCGATGACAGAAGGTGATTTTTATTGGATTGGATTAAAAAGGCCTATCACAGTTCATAGTGTGTAATGTGGGTAGGTATTACTAATTATGACAAGCGTTAATATTGATTTATATTTATTGTTTTATTTATTTATATCTACTCTGACAAGTTTCAAGGATTTTGCTCCTTTTTATAATGATTCTTATTATTGGACAGGATTTATTCATCTGATATACTGTAGATCAAAAATTCTCAGGAAATGTCAAATTTGGTCTTGCTTATGCAGTTTTATTTTTTATCGATGAATACTCAAATTTGTGATACTTTTGAAAACCCTACAGCATTTTTTAAAACCTCATAATTAAAAATATATATTTTTACTCATTTTTTGAAACCTCATATTACATTTTTGCGACAGACCCAAAAAAGCACTTTGGACACAAGAGATTACATGGAAAATTATGATAATCATGATAGTCCTAATTTTCTTGATATGTAGTCAATGGTGTGTGTGCGTTTGTGTGTGTGTGCGCCCGTGCCTGTGCGTGTGTGTGTCTGTGCGTGCCTGTGTGTGTGTGTGCGTCATGGATCTATGGTGTGCGTGCGTGTCTATGTGTGCCTGTGTGTGTGTGTGTGTGTGTGTGTGCATGTGTGTGTGCCTGTGCCTGTGCGTGTGTGTGTGTGTGCCTGTGCGTGTGTGTGTGTGTGTGTGTGTGTGTGCGTGCCTGTGTGTGTGTGCCTGTGCCTGTGCGTTTGTGTGCATGTGCGTGCCTGTGTGTGTGTGTGCGTCATGGATCTATGGTGTGCGTGTGTGTCTGTGTGTGCCTGTGTGTGTGCCGTGCCTGTGTGTGTGTGTGTGCATGTGCCTGTGCGTGTGTGTGCCGTGCCTGTGTGTGTGCGTGTGTGTGTGAATGTGTGCGTGCCTGTGTGTGTGTGCATGTGTGTGTATGTGTGCCTGTACCTGTGTGTGCCGTGCCTGTGTGTGTGCGTGTGTGTATTCATGTGTGCGTGCCTGGGTGTGTGTGTGCGTGCCTGTATGTGTGTGCGTACCTGTGTGTGTGTGTGCCTGTACCTGTGTGTGTGTGTGTGTGCCTGTGCCTGTGTGCCTGTGCCTGTGTGCATGTGTGCGTGCCTGTGTGTGTGTGTGTGTGTGTGTGTGTGTGTGTGCGTGTGTATGTGCATGTGTGAGTGCCTGTGTGTGTGTGTGTGCGTGTCGATGTGTGCGTGCGGATTGATAGCTGTGAATGGCATGGACCCTCTCTGGACACTGGACACTGCCCCGCTCCCTCAGTCCAAATATTTACCTGACATGCCTTCGTGGGTGGCAGCCAATATAAAAAAACATGCACATTCACAGTGATGGATATTTTGGCACCTGAAAACGCTACAAGAACATGTTTGTAAAGTTGACAGGTATTATTATAAGATTATTGATTGAAGGCACAAGTCAATAAATTCAAGTTGTTTGACAGAGCACAATTCCGTCAGCTTTGTAATATATAAAAAATGTGTTGATATTATGACTTCTTGTAGAGTTATTTGTACTTGAGAAAATACAAATCTTATCAAATGAAATTGTATGAATAATATAAACACTAACATGATTTCCACATATGGTCGGTGGCTTCGTTGTATCGAGAACGACGTAGCTACTGTATGCATCATGTGTCTTTCTATCAAAGTAAATGTAAACTTTGATAATATACAATACATATTTCCCTTTAGAGAAAAACACAAGAAATAGTTCTGAGCTGCAGATGTGGGGAGAAATCATCAAAAGTTCAAAGAAAGCACCGCACACTCAAATTACAAAACAAAATCTGAAATTGAGGCTTCCTTTGAACTACAGACAAGGTCACTTTTACAAATGCCAGAATTAATGGATACAAGTTTATCGGGAAAATGAAACCTAATTGCCCAACCAGGATTTCTCAGGAATTTTAGAATGTATGGACAGCTTTATAGATATGGTCTATGATGATTTATCCTTAACATATTGAATCATATATACTGTAACTAAAGTTTGTAATTCAATAGATTCAACAACCCCCTATTTCTTATGATTAAATTATCTCAAAACTTACTGATATCACAGTATTGTCATTTATCACAGGGCATACAAAACATGCATTCAATTGGGCTGTATACATTCTAACCATATTGCCCATGCCTTTAAACTACTATTGCCCTCTCTTAGATAATGATAGTTCCTAATTTAGACCACATGCCAGCTTCTGAAAGCATTCCAGCCCCGGCTCCGAGGACATGAGTGGACAGAGAGGGACAGGCCGCGGTGTCGTGTTAGATGGAGCATTCACCGCACACGAAGACGCCACGCTCTCTGCTCCTGTGAAGGCCGCATACCTGATAATTTGCATCAGTAAACAGCGAACAAACACTTCAAAGATCCAACACCAATGAGGCCTGAGACATCCCCACAGTCAGGCTAAACCATGTGTGCAGCCTATGTGCCAACCAGTGCATTTATCTTGTTCTTTTGATGACAATGCAGCAAAAATAGTTTCCATTTCAACATATAAATATCTGTCAAAGGTTTCTTATTTGCTGGAGTATCTATACCACATTCTGAAACGCTTCTGCACTGCGAGAAAAATATATTTAAATACCATTACCATTGTTCCATATACATCACACTTTTGCTAAAAAAATTGCTTGTGATAGTATAGCTATCAAAAACAAACCAGACCAACCCCGCCAACTCCAGGGATCATTTCCACATTTTATGGTAATCTTCCTGCCATCACATCCCATCTACAAGCTATACATCCATTTATTGCGCAATCCTCCTTACAGACTCACACACACGCACGACCAATACTAATTACTTTTTAAAATGTAATAAGTTACATTAGCCAGTTACTGTACATTAAGCTATTTAGTATTTTTCACTTTACTTTGGTATTACATACTTTAGTCAAAATGTAAATACTGAATCATGTTGGCTTTTGTGTTTTATAATTTTGGAGGAAACCAGCTCCATCACCTAATTAAACATAGATTATTCAAAACATCTCTGGGTTTTTCCGACAATATAATGCTCCATGTTGTATTCGTACTTGGAATGATGACCATCGCGTCTTGCTGTTGTCATTTATTGGCACAAAATGGCATTGTGTGTTCGGGGTCAGTCCTTGACCAAATAAAGCCGACACAGGAGCCGCTCCTCTGGGACTAGTGCGGCTGCTGCTTTCAATGGTGAGAATGGACACCGGGCCTTTTCCCACTTACTGACCCAAACACACTCTGGACTTATAACACTTGTATTGTGTGGATGGATTTGACTACTTTACCAGCAGACAGGACTTTTCCTTCCAATGAGAAACACACTAAACTGTATCAACACAGCATTCACACAAGTCACAGAGAACAAATAACATGATTATGATCCTCATCATGTCATGCTTCTTTGTTTCATGCTTTTTTCCCCAAACAAGTGAAAATGATGTGATCAGTCCTCAATGGACCTTAACGTGGTGGGGGAGTTTCTTTGGATCTTAGGTTGCCTGGGGTTTAATGCCCCTGGTAGGGTCTCCCATGGAAAACTATAATAGATAACGAGTCTGACAAAGTGCTGTTCATAACCCACCATGCACAGTTTAATCAAAAGGACCGTTGCCCGGTATAGCAATGTACTCTTTGCCATCTCGCCTGAAGATGGGTGATTGGGAAGAAGTGCCCTTGATCTGAATCTGAGCCTACTATGCTAGTTATAGTTTGTCCTTAAAGAACATCATGTTGGAGCACAGGGGTGTCCACCAGTGAACGTGGCACCAGTGAACGTGGCACCAGTGAACGTGGCACCAGTGAACGTGGCACCAGTGAACGTGGCACCAGTGAACGTGGCACCAGTGAACGTGGCACCAGGACGCCCTCGGCCAATGTCTTGGCTCACACGTCTAACATTGCATGAGCTTATTGTTTGTTTTAAATCGTACAATACGTGTAGTATAGTTCAAATAAGATATATTCTTGATCCTTTCGTCGTTTTGTTTTTGTTTTTTTTAAAGATAATCAAATTAATCATAGTAGCACTAATCAATTTCATGATTGTGATTGCACTCTCAAAAATGTCAGTGTTTTCTACACGTCCATGTCCTACGTTTTTGAGCGGCGTGTTGATGTGAGAGGAAAAGTTTAGAACCAGAGGACAGGCGTCAGTCTCACTCACTTCCCTCACAGCTGTCTCACACTGTTGTTTACATAAGAGTCGGACAGGTAAACACTTTGACTCTAATAACCTCACACA